CGTGTAGGTGTGTGTGTGTGTGTGTCTCGTTTTCACTCGTTCACGTGTACCTTCCATCCCTCGCATCGACCCTCCTCGCTGGCTCGAGGAGCCAGAAGTCGAGGACTTCCGGGACAACGCGTGGACATATACGTTCCTCACCTTCGCCAAATGCTCTCCATCTCTCTGTTCGTTTCAACATCCGGAGACGATAGAACGACGGAATCGCGATTACGAACTCCAGAAAGACGCATAAGCTTCCTCTAGTGGAGCACCATTGCTGTTCCTCTATGTCAGTTTTACCCTTCCTTTCCCGTCTCTCTATTACCCTCCGACCGGTTCCATCATCGAGACCTCGCGCGAGGTGCTCCGAGGACGCCGATCGAGAACAACGGCCGGCCGTGATGGCGTCGATCGAACACGGCGTTGCCTCCAAGACGACCGAGAACAGCGAATTGCGAGAACCAGACGCATCGCATGGTACTCTGTTCAGGATAGAGGCGATGATCGCGACTCGATAATTCATGTACGTGTCCTATCGCGGCTCGTAATATCTAAGATCAGCAAGGTCGCGCCTAGAGTGCTGCTCCAGGCACATCACGCGACGCCTTCTACGTACCGGGTGTCCGCCGAGTTATGCAACGGCCCGCACGACGGTTCGCGTGAAAAATGGTCCGTTGATAAGGGCTTTGAGTGCAATCTCCAGCGTTAAATTCTTCGTGATTAAAACGAATCTGAAGCGGGACCGGACCTTTACGTGACCATGAGTACCATGGGTGATTCCTTTCTATGGGCATTGGTTTATGGGGAATTTGAACTTGAAATATTGTTTAGAGTTGATTCGGAATTTTTGGAATTCTTATTTCCTATATTTTTGCTTTTTGAGAATTTTTATAGATCTGTTAGTATAATTAGAAACAAAATGAATCTTTAGAAATAAAGTTCCACGAAATGACGAATTACTATTAAAAATAAAAGGAGATAAAATAGAATTATTTCACTGCAATATTGTTTAACTATGATCCATTAAATATAAGTTCCCCAGACAAATTATCGACAATTCAAGGGAAAACCAGTAATCCGAGTTTTAAAAAATTTGATAAGAATTTTGAATTCTTGAGAATTTTTATAGATCTGTTAGTATAATTAGAAATGAATCTTTAGAAATAAAGTGCTACGAAATGACGAATTACTATTAAAAATAAAAGAAGAAAAAAAAGAATTATTTCACTACAATGTTGTTTAACTATGATTCATAATATATAACTTCCCAAGACAAATTGTCGATAGTATAAGAAAAAATCGGTAATTGAAATTTTAAAAAATTGCAGGAATTTCAAAATTTTACGAAGTTCTTCAAAATTAAATTCGACCTCACTGCTAATTACAACACAAATCGAATTTCACGATCATTGCTTAAAGAAGTTTCAATATTCGTGTTATTGGCATTCCTTTCGCCGCAAATGTCATAAGTCACCTTATTGGTCACGCAAAGGGAAATTCGATAAAAATTGTTACGTAACAGGAATCCGATTTTATACAGACAGAATATAAGTACGAATACGATTAAAGTTAACACGTTGACTGCATCGCATATTCGATAGCCTCGTTTCTCCAAATTACTCGACAACCTCGAATAGGTACCAATTCGTAATTTCCCGCCTATCGCGTGATAAAATATACACGTGTAAATACAGTAACCGACAAAAATAATCCAACGCTGTGTTTCCAAAGAATTCTCCAACCCAAAAATTTCGATTTCAATGAAACTTTGCATACACGTGAAGCATAAAGAATTACACTGGGAGTAATTTTTCTGTCGGTGATAAATGACCTTGAGGGGGTGAAATCAACGATCAAAGTATCAATAAAGTGTTAGTAAATTTTTGTTTCTCAAATCGAATCTCGTGGAGAAGAATTTTTATTATGGAATGAAAAAGCATTAAAAATTAAATATTTTTCATTTGAAAAGATTTTGGCTTTATCCAGCATCACTCTTACAATTAAAAACAAAACACATTATAACCACATTAAAAACAACCACAGTTAGATTAAAAAAGAAAGAAAAAATCGGACTGTAACTTTGAATAATGATTTCACCCACGCGAAGTAACATCTGCGAATAAAAAAGTTCATACACGTGTAATTCGTTGGGCTTTGCATACACGCAAGCCTCCATTAAAGTCGGAATTTTTCAGTTAGAGTACCTCCTTGAAATATGTATGGCGTTCGAATACTTTCCCGATCCACTGTACATCCCTTACAACTACAAATAAAATAATCTACAATTTCATGTAATACTGCACATTTTAGTGGTACCAATATCTCACTTCGTAATCCCAACAACGCAACCAATTAATTAATAAACGAAAAAACGAAAATTCCCATAAACATCTTGAAATTCAACCCTTTGCACTCGGCGACATTTTCGTTGCAGAAAAATAGTAATTCAAAAATGCCATG